AGCTGAGGACGGTGGCGGCGGTCACGGCAGGGGCCAAGGCGGGCTGTGGCTCCGCTGCGGTCATGCTGCTGCAGAGGAGGGTGGACTGCGACCCCATCTAGGCGGCCACCATCCCGCTAGTGATGCGCCTGGCCAGCCGCATCTGGGAGGACGAGGATCCCTGGCCAGCCTGAACGCTAGCTGGTGTAAGCTGGCGGAGGCGATGCGAGCGGGCACATTGACTTGGGCTACGGCGCATGGCCCGCTTGGGGCCACGTGGCTCACGCTCGGTCGCATCGGCTGGACTGTGACAGCAGCGTGGGCCCTGCAGTCCGACCTGGGCGAGACGCTGCCCATGCTGCGGGTCGCCCCTCGGGACATCAAGGACGCGCTGGTGGAGGGCATGCAGCGCTGGCAGTGCAGGCGGCTGGTGGCCCACCTGCCAGAGGGCCGGCCAAGGCGAGTCCCTCTGGCCCAGGGCCATCCGTGCCATTGCGTGCAGGGCGCGGCCAGCGGCGGAGATGGGGGCCATCCAGGCGGTGTGGGCTGGGGGGCACTTCACCAACGCCTGGAGGCATGCCCGCGGCTACACTGCCTCCGGCCTGTGCCAGGCGTGCGGGGGTGCCAAGGACACGCTGATGCACAGGTGGTGCGCCTGCCCTGCCCTCATGGCGCCGCGGGGCGACGAGCTGGAACACGAGGAGCCGTTCCGCAAGCCGATCGCGGCGATGAGGTACCAGCTGGAGGAAGCCGAGCAGGAGTGGACCATCGGGGACAGCGAGCTGCCGCTGGCGTGCGGCTTGCCGCTGATGCCAGCGCTGCCGCCGCCCGCGCCGTCGGACAACGTGGTCATCGAGTGGGGCGCCACGCAGGAGGAGTGGCCGCCGGTGGTCTACACGGACGGCTCTGGGCACGCCTCCAGAGCCCCCGAGGCGCGCAGGTGTGGGTGGGCAGCCGTGGCCCTCAGGCCTAACGGGATCCCCCTCAAGGCGGCCTGCGGGCCTCTGCCTGGGCCGCGCCAGACCGTGGGGAGGGCGGAGCGGCGCGCGTGCCTGGCCCCGCTGGCGCAAGCTGGCCTCGTTCAGGTCATCGTCAGCGACCTGCAGTCCCTGGTCGCGGAGGGCAATGGCTGGTCCCCGTCGGCGCCGTCGGCCAGAGCGAGGCATGCCAGCATCTGGAGACAGCTTCACGCGGCCGCGGCGAAGCGAGGTGGGCCGCCGCCGAGGTTCCGTTGGGCGCCTGCCCACCGCGCCCTCCAGCAAGCGCTGGACGAGGGCTTGTGCCCGCGGGACTGGCTTGGGAACTGCTGGGCGGACTTCTTCGCCAACCTCGGCGCCGCGGTCACCAGGCTGCCGAACGACACGGCGGAGGCGCTGCACGCGGAGCTCCAGCGGGCCCTGGACACGGCCACGTACCTGGGGTGGGCGGCGGCACGGATCTGCCAGCTGGACTTGTGGAGGCCGCTCGGGGAGGACGGCAAACTCCAACGCAGGCAGGTCTGGAGGGGGCCAGCTGCCCCGAAGCTCAGCCTCACGAGGCACGAGTACCAGGTCACCAGTTCAGTAGGGGTGCAGTGCGTCCACTGTGGGCGCGAGGCCTACACGGCCAAGGCACGGGAGTTGCTGGACTGCAGGCCTTGCCAGCCCACGGGGCTGGGCAGGGTGCGAGCCCGCTGCCGCCAGGGTCGGCCTATGGCGAGCTCGGCTGCAGTCAATGCAAGCCTGCAGGCGGCTGGGCGCCTGGGGGAGGAAGAGCTCCTGCCCATGAGTGGAGCGGCCGCTGCTACACAGGGCCACTGCCAGCAGCGGACGATGCAGCAGAAGGTCAGCTACCTGCTGGAGGCGGCCAAGGGCATCCCTGCTGAAGGGACTGCTGGCGCTGCAGCTGCGGGGCAGCCACAGGCACAGGGGGGGGGGCGGCCTGAGCCCCGCCCTGGCCCAGGACGGGGGCTCGCCAACACTGGGCGGCGCGTGGGCCTGGAGCGGCCGCGCGAGGGAAACGGCCACCACGCCATCGAAGCGTGGGACCGTTCGGGGCCTTTAGAGGCCGCCCTGGGCTTGCTGGCCAGCTCCTGGGTCGTTGATCTGATGGGCCAGAGCCTTGCCTACGCGTCCTGGATGGAGGAGTGCGTCGAGTACGTGTACAGGATGCTGGGCGAGGAAGTCTTCCGAGGCTTCTTTATGCGCAACAGCGCCGAGACGCGCAATGCGGAGAGGCTGAGGCGGGCCGAGGAGTTCTGCGAGCGTGGCTGGCGGGACGGCGGGCCGTTCAGGGAGTCCCGCATCGACGAGGCGTTGCAACTGGAGGGCGAAGACAGGCATATCAAGCTCCTACGACTGCGCTGCTACCACGCTGCGGCGCGGGCCTTCCTGTGCGACCGTGGCAGCGCGCGGCGTGCTGGGGGGCGGCGAGGGCCGCTCTACTTCACTTTCTTCGAGCCCGTTGGAGGAGTTCTTAGCAGAGGAGTTGACAGGAATCGGCAGAGCGGCGCACCCCAGAGGCGCGGGGACTCGAGGTCCCCGCCGAGCGGGCGCCCCAGCCAGCAGCGTGGCCCTGGGGGAGGACGAGCCGCGCCGCAGGAGCCGACGCCACCGTGGCCAGGAAGCGCTGCGGAGGGACTGCAGCGGCCAGAGGGGCCGCAAGCTGCCCCCGCCCAGCGGCGCAGGCGCAGCGCGGGGCGAACGGCTAGCAGGTCCCGCTCTCCGCCAGGGCGTAGCCACCCTCTGGAACACAACGAGTCCGAGAGCAACAGCAGCCCCGAGCCTGACGCCGTGTTCGGCCTCGAGGCCCTGCGCTGCATGCTGAGGGCCTTCGCGAGCTGCTGTGTGTTCGACCTGCGCGACTCCGAGGCTGCGGAGAGTTCGTGGACTGCCTGGGCGGCGCAGTATGCCCTCACTTGGCTCGCCAGGCCAGGCAGGGAGGAGACGAGGGAAGAGGCCACCAGGCTTGCAGGCCCCATAGGCCTGAGGGCGCCGGCGCAGGCAATGGTCAGGCAAGCCTGGCTCATGAAGGCCGACGTGCGGCGCTTCACGGTGGAGCACCTGATGGGCATGGCGACCCTGGAGGAGTGGCTGCACTTCGCCGGCATTCAGTGGGCCACGCTGGATGAGGTCTGCCACACCATGGAGGAAATCATCGGATAGGCAGTGGTCAACCTGCCTGGGCTGCCTGGCTTCGCGGGGCCCCTGCCTGGACTGGGCCCCTCTGGCACCGGCGAGCAGCCGCCCCGCCAGGCTGGGCTGCCGCGGCCCCGGGGCATCCGCAGCCGAGGAATCGAGGCCTTGCGGCGGCTGTGGCCAGGCACTTGGCAGAGACCTGGCGACCTGGGCAGCGGCAGCGGCAGCGAGGGCGACGTGCCGCGCCCCGACGCTGCGCCGTCGGGGTTGCCTCCGCCCCCGCCCGCGGCCGCAGCGGGGCAGATGCTGCAGCGGCAGCCGGCAGGGACGGCTCAGGGCGTTCGAGGCGAAGCCGCCGCCGAGGGGGGCGGCGGCCCCAGGCTGGATGACGGGGGAGGCGAGGCTGCGGCTGCGCGAGGGCGGGGGGCCTCCCTGTGGCGGCGGCCTGCGCTGTGGCGGCGGCGGTCGCGGCGGCCACCGAGCCTGGCGCGGGCGGTGGAGGTGCCCAGGGGCCGCACAGGGGGGCCCGTGTGGCCCAGCGCTCGAGGAGCCCTGCGCGAGTGGCAGGCCCCCGCACTCCTCGTGGGGGGGTGCAGCTGCCCGAGGCGCACCACGGGCACGGCGTGCGCATCGCGGGGCCTTGCGCCTTCTGCTGCAGGTGCGGTGCGTTTTCCCAGCTGAAGGGCGTGGGCCGCGCCAAGGGCCTGAAGGCGGTGCGCGGCGACAGCCTGCCCCCAGGGCCGCAGGCCACGGCGGGGGAGAAGAAGAAGAGGCTCTACCTGAGCCGATTGCCGGGCGGCAAGGACCCATATACTGGGCGGCCGCTCGGATGAGCCTGGCCTCGGGCTGCTGGCGGGATCCCTGCTCGCCCCGCGGGCCTTCTGGCTGGGCGCCTCGCGCTAGGCCACCTCCTGGGCGCAGCCTCGCTGGGGCCCAGGGCCTGGTCGGCCGCGCGCTTGCGCGTGGCCGCCTGCGTCCTGCTGGGGCGGGCCATCCTGGTGCCAGGCCTGCAGCCGTGAGGGCTGCGCGGCCTCGCGTGTGCGTTCGGGCGTCCAAAACCGTTGTTGTTTCCTACTCCTCCCGCCCTCTGCCGCCCTCTCCCCTTCTCTTTCCTGCCTCCTACCTCCTACCTCCTACCTCCTACCTTCTACCTCCTCCTTCCGCTTAACTCCCTCCTGGGCGCTGGCAGCCGCCAGTTGTGCAACTGTCGACACTTGCGTGGGCTCCAGCAGAGTGCGGCGTTACCCAATCCAAGTTTGATCTCACCTCCTCGGGTGCTGCCAAATGCACAAACGCCAACACTTCCGTGAGTTGCTAGACGGTTCAGCGGGGTGCGGCTCTACCCAGATCAAAAGTCGACTTCGCCTTCATGGCTGCTGCTACATGGGCAACTGCCGCAATAGTATGAGCCTATGTGGAAGGTCCATCGCAGCGTGGTGCCACCCAGATCCAAATGTGCTACTGTCGTTAATTTCGCGAGGTTATGTCGCCACTTGCGTGGGCTCCTGAGAGGTCCAGCAAGGTGCGGTGTTACTCGGTCCAAGTTTCACCTCACCTCCATGGGTGCTGCCAAATGTACAAGTGCCGCTACTTCCGTGAGTTGCTACAAGGTTTTGCTGCGCGCGGCTCTACCCAGATCAAACGTCGACCTCGCTTTCATGTTTGTTGCTACATGGGCAATTGCCGCAATTTTTATGAAGCCACCCAGATCCACATGTCCACGAATGACATCGCAGATCCCCGAGCACGTTGTAGCTCGGCCTCTCCCTTACGAAAGGACGACCCGCAGGAACATCTGCTACGTGCACAGAAAATGTGTGTATTGCCCAACGGGCGTCTTTAGGACCAGCAGGAACACTTTCGATTGTCGCACGGCCTGCTAAGTTTCGCGATTTTTACGCCAAGGCCCTGACGTCAACGGCCTGCCATTGGCCAGAGCATGCGCGACGGGGTCATCGCGGACGTCGATATCGAGGTCGTTTTCATGCTCTTCAGGTTCACGGCGTCCGATATTTTACCCGTGATCAGGGTCCTTTCGGGCGGGGCCAGGACGAGGATAAATCCGCTCCAGAGCGTTCCAGAACGCTCTCAGAGCGGCCCGGAACGCCCAGAGAAGGCCGCGGCGCCCGAGGCATCCTCCACAGCCGCCGGATCCCAGAGATTCTCGATTCATCCTCACCCGAGTGTATCTTCGTCTTCGCTTCGTCTTTGGCCCTGGCCCAGAGTTCCTCGTCCGCGGGCCGCCCGCGGACCTGGCGGGCGCGCCTGCGCCCTGTCTTGCCAGAAGGATCACGCTCGTTACCCCCCAGGGTCACGCTTGTTAGCCATGCCAACCCCCCTTCCGTGAAAGCAAACGATCGCATTGGGCGGGGGGCCTGGACCCCCCCCCTACATGCTGTGGTGCACACAGGCGATTGATGCGCTGGTGGCGCGGACGCACCCTGACGGCTGCACGCCGCGGCCGCCGTTACCATTACCCTCCCGCCCGACCCCCCCCTCCCCCAGGTAACGACCGTTACCCGGGAAAGAAAGAAAAGGGCACCCTTTCCTCCTCGATATTCGTGCCTTTCGCGGTTTCTTCTTTGTCCTCGTCGTCGCCCGTGCGATTGGCCTCTTACCTTCTGGTGCTTCTTCCTACTCTGTGTCGTCGCTGTCCTTGTTCTTCCCCTTCCACTTCACTTTTTTTTGTGGTGGTTGCTTCTGGTCGGCCTCATAAGGTGTTCAGCGCGGCGGCTTTCCAAGCAACCCCAGCGCAAGATGGCGCTCCTTTTCGTATCATAGCTTGCTACGTGCGGGCCCATGGGCGCGTGCTACCACTTCTGATGGATGGATTGGACCTGTCCTTGGTAGCTTTCTTTTTTGCATCCTTTGGAGCCTTCGCCGCCATGGTGGGATCAAGTCGGAAGGGCCGGTCAATGCGCGCTCCATGAGAGGTCTGGGGTTCCATTGCGAAATCGTTTTCTTATGGATCTGGCCCCCTGGCCCCGAGATCGCGAAACACCGTTTGTTATTTGGTGTTCTGCGACGCGGGAGGGTCTTTAGAATTCGACGACGGCGACGCGGACGACGACGAGGGCGATCCCGAGGCTTTCTGGGACACCCAGTCCGACAGCATGTGTTGCACGCGGTGCGGGAACGGCCACGTGGACTGACCCCCCCATTCGGCCGCTCCGCGCGGCCATCGCGCGTCCACGGGATGACAAGTGAAGGAGGGGGGGCGGGGGGGGGAGGGGTCTGGACTTCAGGCGTCTCGTGAGGAACGGCGGAGAGGAAAAAAGGGGGGCCAGGGAGGGAGGGGAGGTGATCCTCGTCTCCCCCTTCCTCCCTCTGTTCCCTCCTCTTTCTTCTCTCCCCTCCCTCCTCCCAACCACTCTCCACCAGCGGATTGTGTGCGGGGGATCGGGGTGTTTGGACGGCGTATCTTTGAAAATGTCATTGCCGTGGTGAGGCAGAGCATCACAAGCCTCCCAACCGCCCAGGTCGTACGCGGCTCAGTCGCTGGCGGGCGCGCATGGGCCCCACCCCTCTCCTCCTCTGCCCCCTTCCCCTCCTCCCCGCCCCCTTTCTCCTGGGAGCCCAGCTCGGTGGCTACAGGCTAAGTTGTTGCTGCTGTGCGCGCGGGGATGAAGAGAAGGAGCAAAAAACACCGAGCATCCCCCGCCGCGGTTGGGGGACCATGCGCGGTGGACGACGAATCGGACAACCGTGCCATCAGCCACAGCGTTGGGACCTGGCTTGGGAGAACACTGCATGTGGGAGTGACGGGCCGTGGAAGAAGGAGGATCTGGCGCCGAGAGCTGCGGGACACACACTGGGAGCCAGACGTCATCAGCCACGCTGCGAAGACCAGCGCGTGCGAGAAATGCGGGCAGTAGCAGCGCGGACCGATGCTGCTCAGCGAGAGATTGTCGGCACGCCACAAGGGAGTGGGGGGGCCCTGTGTGTGTGTGAGTGAGTGAGTGAGTGAGTGAGTGAGTTCGGTCGGCTGGCGCACCGAACCGCCCAAAACAGATGCCCCCAGGCGCTGGCAACCCCCGATGGTTGCGGACGGCTGGGACATGTTGCGGGCATCTGTTTTGGGCAGTTCGGTGCACCAGCCGATTGAACTCATACCCTCCTCAGGGCCCCCCCTTTTTGGCGGATCCCGAGATTGGCTCCAAAGCGTGCGGCGTGCGGCAGACAACATCAGTTATTTAGGGGGAAAACGCACACAGACACAATTATTCGTCAATTTCTTGGAAACTATGGGCAAATATGGAAAGTGGAAAGGAAGACGAACATCGAGAACATATTGAAACATATGGGGAATCTTGGGATTTGTGTGTATTTACTTGTGTGTCCCTGGGCCCCTTCAGCTACACGGATGGAGCCAGCGATAGTCAGAAGGGCGCGCAGTGGCGCAGTTGGGCTCGATGGTCGGGTTTGGAGCGAGTCGTCATATGCTACGCTCGGGTCAAGACTGAAGACGGGCATGTCCCTTCACAGGAGGAACGTTCAATAGTAGTAAATAGTAGCCTGGTGACGATTCTCTTGCTCTTGTGATTACGTTTGATTTTTTTGGACTTATGATCACGTTTCTTCCAACCATAGGAGGACATACCCGACCTAAGTCACGACATGAACGACATGAGCGGAATTCAAACATGCTCTCCATCTGATCAAACATCTGGGGCCCGACGCGCTGGGACAGACGGGTGCGAGAGTGGCGAGCAGCGGCATCAGGATCCCGACGCAATCAGCCTCACGGCCAGGCCCAGCGAGTGGGGGACCTTCGAACATTTTCAGCAGGGAAGGGCGTGGCGCAAGTGGAATCGGCACAGCGTGCTGGAACCCGACGTCATCAGCCACACTTTTGCGAACGGCGCATGGGAGAGGAAGGCACTGACAACATTCACTGATGTTGGGCAGCAGTGTTTAGAACGCAAATATGAAAGCTGACATCTGCTGCGAAGGCCAGGCCTTGCGCGCGAGAAAGGCGCGCAGTAGCAACAATGTCTGACGCTGCGCAATGCGCTCAGTACTGCTAGGACTGGGGTGCGCAGTAATCATGGACGGCGGTGACAGCAATACTTGCCCGTTGCGAGAGCAGCTTGGAACCAACGTGGTCAGCTTGAGAGAAGTCAGGCCTAGTAGGGGGTGCTCGTCCATTAGCTAGGTCCTCCCTTCTCCCGCTTCTCCTTCTGCTGCTCCTTCTTCTCCCTCCACCTCCCTCCTCCCCCTCAACCCTCGCGCGCGGAGGGAGTGAGGATGGTGACGATGAGGGGAGGAAGGATGGACCCAGACCTCTAGGCCTCTCGAACGACTACCACTGTGTGACGGCCAAGGCTTCTAGCCTCTGGAGGCGTGCTTCGGGACCCGGGACCGTCAGCAACAAGCTCGCGACAAAAACTTGGCCCTGCAATTGTGGTGCAGAGCTCTGGGGGCCCACGGACTCGATGTAAGACATCACAGCGTCGGAGGTCTGGGGAGGAGGGGAGGGGGGAAGGCAGGAAGCAGAGGGATCGAAGACCGACGATCGAAGATCGAGGACCAAGATTTTGGTTTTCGTATTTGTTCGGACTTTTTTAGCTTCCGGAGGCCGTTGAAAGCCTAAGGGGACATCCAGGGGCATTCGCAGGCCTCCAGGGACCTCCAGAGACCCTTTTGGGGACCTCCCGAGGCCTCCGGGGCGAGCGGGTTCGCTCCGCCCTTTGGCTGAATCAGTTTTTGTTGAATTGTTAGCATGTGCTATCGGGCGGGTTGTGATGGGGGGTGACCCTGGTGGGGGGTGAAGAACAGGGCTCTAGGTGGATCTTCGGGCAGCCAGCAGGGGCCCGAAAGTGGGCCTAAAGGGCCTCTTTAGGGCCCTTCTCTTCACCCCGCATCCGCTCGATGCTGCCGCTGCCCAGCGTCACTTGTGGATGATTCTGCAGGAAGGGATGCGCAAGCCATGATGAGGACCTAGTGGAGGTGGGGAAGGGAGGAGGAACATGATGAAGAGGACGACGAAGACGATAAAGACGAGGGGCTGCAGGGGCAATCATGGTGGCTGGGATTCCTTCTCTTGCTGCCTGTGCTTCGACCCAGTTCTGCCGACCATGACTTGAAGGGCTGAGCACGTGACCCGTCTCCAGTTTCCCCAGAGGCCTCTGCGAAGGTCTCCGCGGAGATCTCCGAAGGCCTTTGGGGGCCCTTGGAGGAGAGGGCCCAAGCCGTGCCCAAAGGTTTGAGTGACGAGCGAACTACACACCCGTGCCCATCGGGTGAACGGAGGGGGCCATGGGTGCGTGTTGTCGGATGGGGTTCCCCGCTGGAGGGGGAGCCTCCCCAGGGGGTCTGACAACCGCGCCCACACCCATAGCCAGTCCTCCTCCCTCCGACCCCCGATGGGTGTGTGTGTGTGTGTTGTTCGCTCGTCCTGGAGAGCGTCCAGAACCGTCGAATGAGTCCGAAGAGAGCAAGGTGTATTTTTGTTGCCGCCCCGCCCTGACGCTGCGCGCGTGAAGGACTGCATCGTGACAATCTACGCCTGTCGGCGCTGAGAGCGGAGCCAATGCGAACGCGGCTCGGTCCGAGAGCCATGTCCATGGCAGAAAAGGGCAGCTTGTCTTCACAACCAGACCTCCCACGTCTTGAACAAAATCAAGGCCTAGGTCTTGTGGCACTTTGGGCCTCTGGGGGGGGGGCGTTTCCAGGCCCCGGGACTATCAGGGAAGATCCAAGATGAATGATTAGCCCTGGTGAAGGGGTCGGGGCTTCATTGGGGCAGCGTATTGAAAAACTACAGCGTCGGTGGTCTGGGGAGCGCTCGTCATCTTATTGCCGCCACCGCAGTCCTAGCTTCGGATGTGATCTTTCTGAAGAAGTTGCAGGCACCGCACTGGGGCCTCCCAGCGGGTGAGCCGCCTGGGGGCCTTGCACCGGCCCGTTTCCGTCTAGCCGGGTCGGACCTCTCGGGTGGAACGCCATTGGGGAGGCAGACATGTCTCTCTTTAGCCCCTCATGAACACAGCGAGGTAGCATCGCACTCCAGACTTCTAAGGGTCCAGGGTGTTGCACTGGCCCGACCACGTCCAGATTGGTGTGATCTCTCAGGTAGAGCGCCCTTTGAGCGGGATCAGACTTACTCGTATCCACTTGCGCAAGTACTCAGACCCAATCCTTCCGTCCAACTCATATCCGACCCACTCCACTGAAGACTCACTCGTATCTGGTCGCTCGTATTCAGATGTACTCACCGTCATAATCATTCGTATTCAGACTCACTCACAGTCAGATCCATTCGTACTCAGACCAACTCATACTCAGTCGCTCAGACTCCGACCCACTCATTCCCAGACTCGCGCACGCTACTCATACCCAGTTTCGCTTATACTCAGACGCACCTGTACTCCGCCGCCGTCGTCGTCACCGCCGTCGTCGTCGTGCCCCTCCCCGATGCCGCTTCCTTCTTCGTCTTGCCTGGTTGACCGAGTGGAGTGTCCCAAAGAAGCCTGTGGCGTGCCCCTAGCTATATGCAGCCTGGACAGCTGCACGGTGGCGGTATTTTTGCTGCAGTGCCCAACAGGGTTGAGGTGGTGTTGGGCCTCCCGGGGGGCATTGCCGTGGAGATCAAACAAAGAAGAATCGGTGATCCTCAGGACGTGTGTTAGCCCAAGCGTGCGTTTACTGGGTTCGGTTTCGCCGAATGCGCGCAGCCTGTGTCGACCTTCGTTGCGCCGCCCGCCTACGTTGTATTCGAGGGCCTCGGTGGACGAGCACATGGGGATCATCGAAGGAAGACTTCGGCGTGTCGCCACGCCCCTCTGTCTGTGCTGGTCGTCCGATCTCGAGCCTGCGCGGGGCAGGGGCGCGGCTTGGAGAGGCGTTCGCCAGCGGCCTGATCTACTGCACGGCCAGCCTGCCGCTGGACATCACCAAGGAGTGGAGGGGGGGGGGGAAAGAGGCTGGAGGATCGAGGGTCGAGGGCCGCGATTATTCCTCTCGCTTCGCGAGTTGCACGTCCGGACCTCGTACAGTCCAGTCGTTGTGGGGACTCCTGGGAGCCTATTGGGGGCCTCTTGGATGCTTCTTGGGAGCCTCTGGGGGTCCCTTGGGGGCCTCGTTGGGGCCTCTTGGGGGCGTCTTGGGGCTTAGTGGGGCGGTCTTGCGCCGTTTGGCCCCTTTGGAGGCCGTCTTGGGGGCTTCTCGGGGCCATCTCAGGGATCGCTTGGGGTCTTTTGGTCCGTCTTCAGGGCCTCTTTGGCCTTTTTGTGGGCCTCTCTTTGGCAAACTTGGGGCGTTCTTGGGCTGGTTTGGGGCCTTGTGGGCCGTTTTTGGGGGTCATCTTGGAAGCTGCTTGGACCGTCATGGGCCGCCAAGAGTCCCAGACTGAGAGAACGTCCAAAATCTTCAACAACTTACGGGAAAGCAGTGTTTTTGCCGCGGCCGCAGGACCGCCGCTGTACAGTTCGCCCCGTGCCCCACCGGAAATGCGCTCCCCGTGCGAACGAGCGCAAGCAAGGCAAGAGGTGCGCGGAGTGGAAAGACTTGTCAGAGGCAGCAGAAGACCGAACTTGGGCCCCATGGGGACCATTTTGGAGGCCGCGCGTGGCCATCCTGGGGGCCATCTTGGCAGCTGCTGGGGCCCTCCTGGGATCTGGAGAGGTCCAAGCATCGATGCCAGTGGAATGTGTCAAGAACAAGTGGAAAGCATGGTTCTTTGCCTCTGGAAGCGCTCTTGGGACCCTTCTTGGGGTCCGTAGGGGCCTTTTCGGGGGCCTCTGGGTCCCTCTTGGTTTCGGGCCTCTGGAAGGCCTGTTGGGCCGCCCGGGGGCGCTCTTGCGCTGTCCGGCCCCTTCGGATGCCGTCTGGGGGGCCGCCAGGGGCCGCTTTGAGGCACTTTTGGGGATGCTCTTGGGCCGTCCTGGGGGCTTCTTGGGCCGTCTGGCGGCTGTCTTGGCGGCCCTCTTGCGGGCTTCTTGGATTGTTTGGGGCCGTCTTGGAGGCAGCTTGGGCCGTCGCCACCCCCGAGAATCCAAAAAGGCGGGAGCGCGACAAAACAGGCAACACCCATTAGGAAATCAACGTTTTTTGCTCTGCGGGGACGCTCTACAAGCGCTCGCCATCCTTATGGCACACGGTGGTGTCGGAGGCGCCTTGTCTGGCGCCGCCAGCTCCCGGCGGTCTGTGCTGCGCGGCGACGGAGAGGGAGAAAGGGAACGAGAAGCAAGCAGATGAGGGCAATCGCGCAGGCGGGAGGCCAAGGCCGGCGGGACGAAGCAGGCAGGCATGCGCTCTTGGGTATCCTTTTGGGGCCCTTGGGAGCCGTCTTGAGCCGTCTCGCGGTCATTCTGGGCCGGCTTGAAGGCACCTGGAGCCGTCGTGGGCGTCTGTGGACGCCGAGGGGGCCCGAGAGGCCAAAATCTTTGATTCGCCATGGGCTTCTGCAGGTTTTCGCAAAGTTACCCGAATGGGTCGGCGACTCGGCTTAGGCTTTGCAATCTATAATGCTGCGATGTTTTGCAGTTGGTTTTCCCTGACGTCTCGTGGCTGGGCCATTGCGTCGCGCGCCTGTCCTGTCCTATTGCCGAGGCTGTTCGGACGTGGATCCAAGTGGCTTGCGCCATTCCGCCGACCTTCACAAGGATTGCGTGTTTGAGACGGTCGTGGAAATCATAGACTGGGTCAGGGGACCTCCTGGATGAATCTGAGGGTCCCTTGGGATTCCTCTCTGGGGCCTCTTGGAGAACTCTTGGGGGCACGCGGGAGGCATTTTGGGGCCTCATGGGGGCATCCTGGGTGCGTCTTGGAGGCTCCCTGGAGCCTCTTGGAGGGCCCATCGGGGGCTTTGGGGGGCACCAGGGGCCATTTTGGTGGGAAAGGCTCGAGATGTCAGTTCGTGTTCCCCCTCTGGGGCTTTTTTGGAGCCCTCTTGGGGTCCTCCAGGGGCTGTCTTGGGCCGTTTTTGGGTTCCCTTGGGGGGCCGTCTTGGGACGATATCGGGGGCCACTTGTGCCGTTGTGTTCGCTGTCAAAACGTAAAGCGCGAATGTGCAGAATATGTACGTTAACCAAATGGAATGGGATGATTTTGGCTTATCGGGGTTCTCTCGGCTGGGCTGTTTTGGGGCCTCGTGGGCAATCTTGGATCGTCGTGGGGCGACCCTGGGCCGTCATGATGGTCTCTTCGACTGTCTTGGCGCTCTGTCTAGGCACTGCTGGGCCGTATTGGGGCTATCTGGGGCCCCAGGGATGCGTTAACGAGCTCGTACCCCCCTCCCCCCTTCGACCCTAGGAGAGGGGGAAAGGGAGAGGTGGGCTGCCAAATGTCGGGGTCGGCGGACTTGAAGGGCACCAGAGAAACAATGGATCAGGCTTGTGTCGGGGATTCTGTTTTCTGGGGGTCCAGGCGGACAGCGACCACGACGACAACGAGAACGACGAAGACGCGGGGGAGGCAGAAGAGAACGACGACGAGGGGGCGGAGGACCAGCACCCCCATCACTCCTATTGGGCCATCCCAAGAGCAACTGCAGAAGGGCGAAAGGCATCGGAGCCACATTGGAGCCATATTGGGGCAATCTTGGGGTAAACTAGGGTTCGCGGGATCATATAAGGGCAATTTCGAGGTCTCGGATTCGGCGTTCGTATGTCACGGAGTTCCCCGTGGAGGCGGCGTCATCTTATGGCGGCGTTGTTGGTGGTGCCGCTGGTTGTTTGTGGTTTGTCGTCGTTATTGTAGTTGGGTTCTTGTTGATTTCTGTTATTGGTGTTGTTGCTGCTTTTTCGGGTGTTCGGATCATACTATTTGTTTGCATGATTGGTGATTTTCGCTGTGATCATACCAAAGCACGCCAACCGATTCATTATCAAGCACGACTGCGAGGACTGCTTTGATCTACAACAATGTTGAGTTTGGCATTACTTGTGTTGCTGCTGATGTGGATGCAATTGTTGCTCTTGATGCTGGCTGTGTTGTGGCATCGTTGAAATTACCGCTTTTAGTGCTCCTGTTGCTGGTGCTACTCTTGTGTTCACTCGGTGTCTTCGCTGGGTGTGTTTGTCCCGCCAGGGCTCGTTGACTACATGCCCGGCCGAACGACCATAACGTTCGGTTTCAGGTATGTTAGTTTTTATTTCTGTTGTTGTGGTTTTTGTTATTGTTGTTGATCTCTCACGACTGAAGAATAATTGTTGTGGATCTCCCCGTATTTTTTGGAATTGAAGTGTCCTTCCCAGCGCTCGCACACTGCTTACTATCAGGGAAATCTTCCTCCTTAAACTGTGCCCCTGGCCCCCGGGTTACAACAACAACGCCTCAATTCAGCCAGGACCCCCGCTCCCGCCTGAGACTTTCTCACCTTTTATTCAGGAATCGCGCTCTCGCTTGGGACGTCCTTCCAATTTTTTCAGGAATTGGTCTCTCGGCGCTCTGGAGTCGCGCTTTCGCTGGAGACGTGCTTGCAATTTACTCAAGAATAGCGGCCTGGCGTTAGAATTTCCCGCAATTTACTCAAGCGCCACGCTCCCGACAGTCAGGCATCCAGGAGTCGCGCTCACGCTTAGGACTCCCTCGCAGATTACTTAGGAAACGGGATCTCGCTGCCCTTCGTGGCCCCGTTGCAGCCCTTCGTGGCCCCCTCACCGTCCTTCGTGGACCCGTTGCAGCCCTTCGTGGCCCCCTCGCTGCCCTTCGTGGCCCCGTTGCAGCCCTTCGTGGCCCCCACACTGCCCGTCGTGGACCCGTTGCAGCCCTTCGTGGCCCCCTCACTGCCCTTCGTGGCCCCGTTGTCCTTCGTGGCCCCGTTGTAGCTTTTCGTGGCCCCCTCGTTGCCCCTCGTGGCTCTGTTGCAGCCCCTCGTGGCCTCCTCGCTGCCCTTCGTGGCCCCGTTGCAGCCCTTCGTGGCCTCCTCGCAGCCCTTCGTGGCCCCGTTGCAGCCCTTTGTGGCCCCCTCGCTGCCCTTCGTGGCCCCGCTGTCGCCCTTCGTGGCCCCCCCGCTGCCCTTTGTGGCACCGTTGCTGCCCTCAGTGGCCCCGTCCTTGCCCTCCGCGGCCGAATATACGTATGCCCTTCCTGGACCCCACTCGTTCGCGCCCGTCGTGGCCCCATGTGCAAGGCCTTTGTGGCCCCTCTGTCGCTCTTTGTGGCCCCCTCGCTGTCCTACGTGGCCAAGTTGCTACCCTCAGTGGCCCCGTCGTTGCCTTCTGTGGCCCCGCATTATCTGCCCTTCCTCCTGGCCCCCGCTCGTTCGCGCTCTTCGTGGCCCCATACGCATTCCCTTCGTGCCCCCGCTGTCGCCCTTCGTGGCCTACTTCGTGCCCTTCGTGGCCCTGCTGTCGTTCTCTCTCGCTCTCGCTTTGGCTCGTCGTCGCCGCCGTCGTCGTCGTCGCCGTCGTCGTCGTCGTCTTGGTCGGTCCCATGTCCGTCCCTCTGGGGGTCGGGTTGCCGCCGATCAGCGCTGCCGCTGGCCAGGCCGACGGTCCGCGGCCGCCCCGCCGCTTGCCGGGGCCCGGCCTGCAGGGAAGAAAGGTATACCCCCCAAAAGGGGTACGATCGAAGACGAAAAGGGCGGGTATCGAGGGTTTTGGAAGTACGCGTTAACGGACACTCGAGCAGATAAGAACGAACAGTCTTAAAACGATTATTGTTGTTGTTGTTGTTGTTGTTGTTGTTGTTGTTGTTGTTGTTGTTGTTGTTGTTGTTGTTGTTGTTGTTGTTGTTGTTTTTATTGTTGTTGGTGTGGTTGTTGTTGTTGTTGTTGTTGTTGTTGTTGATGTTGTTGTTGTTGTTGCTGTTGATGTTGCTGTTGCTGTTATTGTTGTTGTTGTTTTTGTTGTTGTCGTTGTCGTTGTCGTTGTCGGTGTTGTTGTTGCTGTTGCTGTTGCTGTTGCTGCTGCTGCTGTTGTTGTTGTTGTTGTTGTTGTTGTCGTTGAATCTTCA